GTGAAGGATGGAAAAACCGACATTCACAAAGATTCATCAATAATACGCTGCAAAGTATGTTTTCGAACTTTTCAAATGAAGAAACTAAGGGAGTGACATGCCTAAAACACACAGCCAAAAGTTGTTAATTTGAATTCAAGATGGCCTAATTTGAAAACCCACTTTTAAGGAGCCATCTAAGTTTTAATCCTTCATAAAATCTTTCTCACCTGCCTATCCCTGTAACTTCAGAAGCCCCTTTTAAAAAATCTGCCCATACCCCATTAGCCACAAATGTCTTTCTCAACCTTGCACCACTCAACCCAATGCCTCCCACCCCCTGAAAACTGGACAACAGACTCGTATTTAGAGCAAGATCTGTGAAAGCACTTCCAGCAGGCAAATCATTGGGGACATTCTTGCCTGCCCACCATGGAAAGGAGCCATTTTTAATCCATTACTTGAGTATTTACTGCATAGGAGTGTGAGCCTGCCACAGAATGGCCATTGTTTACTAAGCAGTGTGCAATACCATGTTGAGTGCTACATGTGTGTTACACTACATTCTTGAGAGTAACAGTAGGGGGTAGTTGCTTTCTATTATCACCATTTTACAGATGAGAAAAATAAAATCTCAGAGATTATATAACTGGTCCAAAGTCATAGAGATATAAGTGAGGAGGCCAGGATTCAAACCTGGGCTGCTGGCTTTCACGTCAGAAGGCCTTAGCATTATACTGCTTCTTACAAGCAGTGGACCAATGGGGCACCAGAGTCCTTCTCTGCCTCCGTGTCCCTGCATGACCTTGATAAATCAACCTTTTCATCTCTAAACATCTAATTTAGACTACATACTCTAGGACCTCTTTCTAGTTTATTCACACCTAATCTTGCAATCTGGGTTATAGTTTCAGCCAATCACCGCTGGGCTGGGAACGTGGACAACTTGTCAGTCCCCTCTGTACTTAAATCTCTTCCTCAATAGGGCCAGATGATCACATGTGCCTTACTACTAATATCCTTTTGAATTGTTTTCTTCCTGTCAACAGCTGTCATATCCAAAAAGTTGGCCCTGGTTCATGTACCAGTATTGGATGACACAGTAAGTGGTTAAAAACCTCTTTACAGCCACCTCTGAGAATTAGTCAAAATAATTTGAGGAAAAGAATGGAGCTTTCTTCCAGGTCAATAGACTGCAGCTGCTGGACAATTAAATGGTTTTTTTTTTTTTTTTTTTTTTCCTTTTTGAGACCGGCCGCACCGCGCTCAGCCAGTGAGTGCACAGTGCACGGCCATCCCTATATAGGATCCGAACCTGCGGCGGGAGCACTGCTGCGCTTAAATGGCTTTAATCAACAAGTCAGTGATCACTTAAATGTCTCTACTTAGCCTAGACCAGTATTTTTTCCCGTCACTCAGAAATAATGCACAATAGACTCCTAACGTGGACTACCCTGTTTTGAAGCCAGAAGACTGTTTGAAACCACGGAAAATGAGTACGCGAATATCTGCAACAGCCTTGTTGGCCAACTACTTTGGCTTTCCTGCTAGACAAGTTACCCTATACCTGTTTGAAAAGTGTGGCTGAAGCAAAGTAAAAAACCCATCAGATCAGATCCAATTCAGACTCAAGCCTTAATAATCCTTTCATGTTTTACCTCTAAACCCTAGTGATTATGCTCAGTTGCTTCTGCCCTGTAAACTCTGAGGTACTCATTTCTTCCTCTTCACCTCACTCTTCACATAGCCTTATCATTTGATGTGAGCTCTGCTTTTATCTCCCCCTAGCACCTTGCCATTTGACTCAATTCATATGTTCTATCCTGCTACTAGCTAGCACTAAGGGGCTTTTCAGAGGACCCTCAGAGATTATTTGCCAACTAAACTCCAGGTCCAAGAGTCCTCCTCATAGGGCACATAAAGCCCTACCACCAAAACCTCTTAATTATCCTAACCTGAAGCTAGGCTGAAGAATTTAGTCAAAAGGTCACAACAGCCTAAACTTGAAGGTCAAACACAAGTATTACATATGTTCTTTCCAGATACTGAACTGGTATTGTAACTTATCACTGTACCCCATTCCCAACTAAGTGCCTGTGTCACAAATCAATGTTCCAATTTGCATTTATTTGTAAATTACTCACTGAAAATTTAACATGAGTGGTTTTAACTAAACTAAGAGGCAGCTGGAAGAGGTTTTTCTAAAAAGTACCAGCTGCCTGGGCTGAAGATTTAGAAATTGTTTCCTGAGGGAGTTATTCAATAAAGAAACTTAAGCTCTCAAAAGTTGGGCCGGCCCGTGGCTCACTCGGTAGAGTGCGGTGCTGATAACACCAAGGCCCCGGGTTCGGATCCCACATAGGGATGGCCAGTTCGCTCACTGGCTGAGCGTGGTGCTGACAACACCAAGTCAAGGGTTAAGATCCCCTTACCGGTCATCTTTAAAAAAAAAAAAAAAAAAAACTTACATAATGTTCTGTTTATACTGATTCCCATTCCTTTTCCAAATGATCAATACAAACAGCAAATCCTCCCACCCCCCAAAGACAGCATTATAGGATTAAGCAATTTAACTTCAGCAACATGCTTCTTGGCTTGGATTTGAAGTTTTGGGGATTTGTCATCAAATCAACCACTAAAGAATGCTTAACTCACCCCAGATGAAATCTGATTGAGGTACGTACTAAAACAAAGATGTCCAATCACAAGTGAACAGGGCTTTAAAGAGGGAAGTCTTTCAACCTATAGACACTACTTTTCTAGGCAGCTTAATATTGCTCTGTAAATAAAGTGAAATATTCTCCATCTCAGGACCTCATTAAACAATGACTATCATGGAAACAAAGTATCAATGTTTCGAGATTTTCACTTGCTCAAGACATGTTTACTCATTTTAAGGCACTAAATGGCCAAATATGGAACTTTTTTTTTTTTTTTTTTAAAGATGACCGGTAAGGGGATCTTAACCCTTGACTTGGTGTTGTCAGCACCACGCTCACCCAGTGAGCTAACCGGCCATCCCTATATGGGATCCGAACCCGGGGCCTTGGTGTTATCAGCACCGCACTCTCCCGAGTGAGCCACCGGGCCGGCCCCAAATATGGAACTTCTATAGTAAAGACAATTACACAATGTATTGTCAGATCTGAGGAAAACTAAAGATAAAAAAAGTAATGTTCCACATACATATTTCATGTGTTAGTTGGGAATCATTTTGGCTATCGTCATGGGTTCCAGATAATTAAGAGAAAGCACTAGGATACTAAGTGATGAATCTAACTACCATGTTATGAATTTCTGCAACCCAACAATGGAAAAGTTACAAACAAAACTAAGCAGTTATACTAAGCTTATCAAAGCAAATTTCAACGATCCCTTCTCAGAACCCCAAGGATGCTACAGCTGTATTCTTTTCAGTTATCTAATAAATGCATAATGAAACAGGATGAAGAGAATTAGTGTGGTCCAATAAAATCAAATTCAACACTAAAGGATTGTTTAAAAATATACTCCAACCCAGTTTTTCTTCAGTGACTTTAATTATAAAAATCTTTCATATTCTCAAAAAAAATGGAAAACCAAAGGCAACAGTCTGGCAGTACAAAAATATACAATTGGAAAAGATTACCACCAACTAGATCTGACAACTAAATCTTGTTCAGGAATAAGAAAGTAAAAGCATTTAGACAAAGTACTAAACCAGTGGTTCTTATATAACCAGGTATATTTATCATCTAGAGCTCTTCCAAATTACCCAAGGCTAGATCACACTGGAAAACTAAATCAATGTGCCTAGAATCGGGCTGGGCTGTGTGTATTTCGAAATATCTCTAATAACTACCATCCCTGATTAAGCAGCACTGTACTAAAATGAACCAGGTCTTTACAATATAGTAAAAAGCAACCAGGATTTACCCATCTAGAAGTGGGTTTGAGTATAAACTACTGACTGCAATCTACCAGGATGGAAATGCCATCTACAGATCACGATTTTCTAAAAGGATCTTTAAGATACTCAAGTATATCAACATACAGAGTATCTACATCTCATAAAACTAAAACTTATCTAGCTAATTTGTCTTCAACTTTCTGCTTAAGATGTGGAGGTCAGGAGAAACCCACAACGAACTGAGAACCATAGATCAAGTTAAATATTCTTGGAAGCATAAAAACCAACTATAATCCTTAGATGTTTCCTTAAATGACCACCGAGTATTAACAGTGACCTACAGTGAACAACTGTAGTCCATCACACAGGGCAAAGTTCTGGTTTGTGACACCTTTCACTATTACTCAACTAAGATGATGTACAAGACTGGCTAATGAGCTTTAGGGCCTCCAAACAGCCACATTCTGAACATGTAATTCAAGGTTAACAATTTTCATGCTCCATATTTTCTATAAGCTGTAAAATTGTGCTAGGGCTTCTGATTAATGTGACTGCAAGTTTGAATAGTAAGTCATCTAAGTGAGGACAGGTCTCTGATGAGGTCAACTTTACTTCAGCTTCTATATTTCTCCCTTATTAGCCACATTATAACCATAATTAATTGTTTTGGTGGTTCCCCCCACCCCAAAAACCCTTCCAAATTCTCAAGTTGTACACTGCCAAAAAAGCCTGTAAGTGTCCATTTGTAAAAAGTAGTGTAATTGACATACTTCCACAACTTCTTAGCTATCTTGGCTAGTTCCTAACAGGAGGTTTTAAGCTAAGAGGAAATGCCAAAAATAAAAAGCCCAAAGCCAGACCTCCCAGTAAATCGAGGAATTCTAATAAGTGCTTCCCCCAAATATGCGGGACTATTAAGACTCAATGAACCTTCCTGACACCAATTCTCCCCTCCCTTGTTGAGATTTGTGTGAAAGGTTAATAGGACCACTGGAAATAAGACCCATACCTTAATATCCTTATTGATTGTTCTCTTAATGCAATGACTTATCTTTCATATTAAAGACAAAGCCAGTAGAGCATAATCCGAAACTATCTTGAAAGAGCATATTTAAGGAAACTAAGCCACAAGACTGTTGCATTATGATTTAATCTAATTGCACAAAAATTTGAAGTTACAACTCCTCCCGATTTCTAAGAGGAAGGTTATGCATGCCTCCATATTCAGTTCTGCACTGTTACATTTGAACCATATGTGAATTTTACATCATGATGGATCAGTTTAGAATTCCCATGCAACACCTCAAATTATAAAATGGAAGCAATTTTTAAAACTGTGGAAAGTTTTCATGCTAAAGATAAAAGCTATTTTTTATGGGCAACTTACTTTGGGTTACAACGTACCAGGGGGCTGCTATACTTTATGATGTTGGTCACTAAGTAACATGGACCCTGAACTGGTTTTTAACTCCTAAAAAATGGGTCACTGTTAACAATCAGGTGACAACCAAATATTCCCTTCAAGAAACTAACCCATAGTGCCTTCTCAGTTGTGTTTCTTGTAAGAACTGTATAACCAACTGCTTTCCATGGGATAAGAACAATGGTAACAGTGGCTTCGACTGACTATTACACGATTATGCTAATATTTTATTAATTCAAAAGTACTTTACAAGAAAATATAAGTATGGCTTCCAATAGGAATGTAATACCTGGACTTGGTACCAAGCTCACAGATTTGAGTTTGCAAGGAATAACAGGCTTTCAAGTTAAACAACAATTTGTAACCAAAACTTTAATCCCAAGGATTCTCACAAAACATATTACAAATGACAGCATGAAAAAAAATCTTGCACAGTAACTCAAAGTTCAGCTCTACAATGTACCCTTAAACTGGCAGGACACCGGTATTTTGAAAATTTCCAAATAATGTTATAAACAGCTATGTGTTCATATATAGTAATCACATAAGAACTTATGACCTAAAGCAAAGGTAAACTTTCTTGAAACTTAACAGATTCCATACCAACTAGGCAATCTCTGACCAGGGTAAAGACTAGTTGGATTCTTCAAAGACCTGTAATTTAGTTTAAAGGTGCAGCTTTTATTTTTACCTGCTGGCTTGTGTTCACAGCAGTTTTTAAAGACTATAGCTGCGTACTATATTCCAGCTACGGAAAAAAGTAAATCTTAGTTCAATTTTTGCCAGTTTTATTTCTATATTAATACATCACACTTTAGCTGGGCAGGATTTAGAGGTTTGTTATCAGTCTACACAAGACTAGAGTTCAAAACAAATTCAATTTTGCTTAAGGGAACATTGTAAAGTAACAATTCTTGGTATTACATGCCTCATATGATCCATTTCAAACCATAGAGAATTACATCTTTGTGTGTGTCACTGTTCCAAGAGACAGACAAATTTGAACAGCTAAAACATCTTAAAAATGCACCAAGCTTATGAAGTCTCAAACAAAACTTGAATTTTCTGTACATACTCCTGTCAAATGAAGTTACTTCCTGTACACCACTTCTCTTGCGAACTGGTCTTCTATTTCCTTTCATTTGACCTAGATCGGCTAAAAAACAAACAAAAAAAACCCCTTTATATCTGTAACTTCGTGATACATGCAAGTGACATAACAACATCAAAACAGACTTTTAAGGTAAAAAGTTATGGCTTAGAAAACAGACTTTAGTGTATCCACTATATGCAAGGTCTTAAATGGCTCAAAAATCAAAATCTTACCTACGAGACCTAGAGAAGGATCGGGACGGCTTGTGATTTCTCTCCCGAGACAGTGATCTCTCTCTTCTCCTATCTCTAGAAAGAGACCTAAGCCAGAAAGAAAACATCAGGGCCCCTCAGGTATGACAATAACACTTAGAAATATGTTCTTAGTCGTCTTCAAAATCTCAAAGTTAGCTCATCCTTACCACTTAACACTAGCTTTATATACCAATACCACTTGATTCACAACTAAAGTCAAGGTCTAGTCCCATTAACCAATTCATTTGGAAAACAGCTTAGGAATAACAGAAACTGCAACTTCTGAGAATATGGGCAAAAAGGGTCATTTACCTGCTCCGACTGCGAGAGAAGCTTCTCCTTCTTGGAGATCTAAAAGCAGAAACAGGAAAATTAGGCTAATCGTCAATTAGTATTTCTGGCGTGAGGCATTTCCCAACTTTTCAATCTCACTGTTGGGCCCAGTGAATGTGCCGAAGAACTGGCACCCATCGTCCAAAAAAATAAAGAAAAGAAAAAAAAGGCACAGAAGGATTAAGGAACAAAAAGCTCAAGTGAAAAGCGGGTATTCCAACCATGGATTCACTTTAACAAAGAATGCTTCACAGCAGATCTGTCCAATGCAAAACTTCATGTCAAACTAACTTCACTACCCAAACACCACACCAAAATGTAGTCCCACAAGTAGTTCCAAAAACAGTACCATAAACCAGTATTTGGAACCCATGCAAACCTATAAGTACACGACAAGACTTAAGTACCAGGTGGATAGTGTAATTTTGTGAAAACGCGCTAAGTGTAAATATTGATGCCATTAAGTGCTAAATTAGAACTTCATTTGTGATGGTCACATTTAAGAGTGTGTTTAGGCTTATCAAAATTACCTTAACTTGGCCCACACTTCACCCCCAAAATTTAAAAATTTTGAAAACTGTTAGTAAAACCATTTAAAGGTGATAGGATTCAACAAATTTTGCTAAAGAAAGCTAAATCTGTTAGAGATATTAAAATTTTTAGTTTGGCATTTCACACATGCAAATAAGTTTCACTTGAAGGTCTAGTTACATTATGAGTTCCCTATCACCCTTAAAAGTTTTTTCAAGCAATATATATGTACGTTACCATTCAATTATGCACAGCCAGCCTTTGATCCAGAAAAAAATTACTTTAAGCCGCTTACTCCTTATTTTAACCAGCAGTAAACTGTATAAGCAGGAAAAACTTACTAGTTTTGGGTTTCAACAAGCTAGAAATGGTGAGGTGAGGCTGCCGGACTGACGGCCAGGAAGAATTTGCTGAAAAGGTTTTGCCAGATGTTGCGTTGGATTTAGTTGGTTGGCGAAGGGGGTGTTGTGGATTTTTCCTGCTTTTTTGTTAGCCGAAGGCTGCTGCTGTAGTTGTTGTGAAGACATTTGGTAAATAAACAGCTGAGCTGATTGGCCAGGAATGTGTGGGCGGTCGAGGTGGCTGCTGCCGATTTGGTTAAGGTTGGAGAGAAGGCTGAGAGAAAACAGCATGCTCGGGAACCAAAGGGCGGTGCAACCTGACGACTGGCCAGCCTGGGTCATGTGAAACGACACCAGCCAAGCTGAATGGGGCGCGCTGGTCACATGACGCTGAAAGGGCTAGTTGACTGGCTAATGCAGATTCAGAGGGTGGTGAGAAGAGACATGATGGTGACTCTGTAACGGGGTTCATTTTTATTAATAGATGGACCAAAAAGCACAAAAAAAATGAAAAACAAGCCATCAGTACAACCATCTATTAGCTAACAAATACTCTTTATTATGATGGGCAACAGTGTGCTGTTGTTTTTCAAAATAGCAAAAGGGGCAAGATTTTGAACTCCTATCTCCTAGGACTTCACTCACCTGTAAGAGGTAAATTCAGTCCTATAGAAACTATTTTGGAGGTTTGAGGAGATGTGGAGTTAGCATCCAGACACTACTGCCTGGTCCAAGAATGATGTCATTTTCAATTATAAAAAAACTGAATTCTCTCCTATTTGGGATTTGAAGAACAGATGACTGGGATTACTTCTTTTTTAGCCCCCTTTATTTGGTCAGTGACTTTAGTTTCAGAATTTCTACTTTACCAGTTGTAACCGTTAAAACAGCTGCCTGTTTGATAAATATTACAATTGTGCTGGTAGTAGAAAACACATTTTTGTGAAGAGCTAGAGTTGAATGTAATGTTTGTCATCATGGAGTCAAGAAATGGAAAAAGGCCTAAACTGAAGTATAAGGGAAGACCTTGGAAAGATGCAACTAGTAAGATGAACTAGAAGATAGATCGAAGACAGAAGTTACTGACTACCAACATGAACAGTGACCTAAAGACAAAAGCCAACACTCAGCACAACTCACATACCCCAAACTACACCCAGCAAATGTTTCACAGAAACCTCCGATTCTTCACAGTATGTTTAAAACCCACCAACAAACTTTAAGAGAAATACCTGCTCCTACTAGCTACTCCATTACACCAATACCTCTAAACACGCTCTCTCTCAAGTACCTGCGACGAGGTGGAGGACTCCTTCTACGATAATCATCTCGAGGGCGACGACCCCAAGAGGGAGGTGGACCACGATTTCGACTTCTTTTTTCACCATTCGACAGTTCCACTCTTACACGGCAGCCACATAGTGTTCTATAAGAGACATTAAATTAAAACAGCCTGACTTTCTGAGATGTACATTAAAGCAAAAATACTCCCATTTAGCTACTTTGCAAAGAACATACCTTAATATTTGTACAATCCTCTTAAAACAAGTTTTAATTCTCTTACTTTTTCCTAATATATAAAATAGTTGAAGGGCCGGCCCGTGGCTCACTTGGGAGAGTGTGGCACTGATTAACACCAAGGCCACGGGTTCTGATCCCATAGGGATGGCCGGTTAGCTCACTTTGGAGAGCATGGTGCTGACAACACCAAGTCAAGGGTTAAGATCCCCTTGCCGATCATCTTAAAGGAAAAAAAAAAAAAAGAAAGTAAAATGGTTGAGGCTATTCCCCAGTTTTTTCTGGTTTATTGCTTAATTGTTAAGAGTCCATCTGATTATTGGGCTCAATGTTAACTTGTTAACATTTGCAATTTAAGCATGAAAGACTCCTGGATTTATCCTTGAAGAACTAGTTCTTTATCTCTCCATCTTGACTTCTTCCCTTGAAGTCCTAGCACTTATTTCAGTTACTTATTAGGCTGTATTTATTGGTCTCCCTCCTTCCCCTCTCCTTCACTCTTTCCAAGTAAACAAGGCTCCAAGACAAGAAAAAACCATTTTGGCCATTTTACATCACCTTCTCCCCTCAACCACAGAAGAGTTGGAATGTAAGAAATTACAGCTAATAGCAGAAAAAGTTATTCTTGTCTCTTTCATTCATCTGTAGCCATTAAGTTTAGCTAAGCCACCACATTTGAACAGTGATTAGAAAGAGGTGGGCCCTGGAAAACTTCATGTTACTGAAACCCGCGTGGATAAACGACCTTTCAAATGGCTTTACAGCCAAACCTCAGACCCTTTTTCATAATATGGGTAAGGAGAAAAGGATCCCATTTAAGGCACCGTGATTTGCTCCACAATAGATATTCTAAAGCAGAACTGATTTTTAGACCTGAGAGATTAACAGCTTGGTTTCACCAACTCCAGTGGTTTTCAAATACCAGGGAGAAGGGTAACACCTGTTACTGTAAGACTCAGGTGTTATTTAGCCAGCGAACACAAAGGGAAATACTAACCAATTCACACTTCCTGGATGAAATATTTCAAACGCATAAAAGTAAAGACAATACTGTAGTAAAATAACCCCCCGTGTGATCATTTTGTAAAGTTTTCTTTAACAATAATCAGTTCATGAGTACTAACTTAAAAGAACATCCCCACAATTATTTCCAGACACTTCAAAGAGCCATCTAAAAGCCACATATCCTAGAGATTTTAAATATTAAAAACACAGGCAATACATTTACCATTAATATAAATTAATCATTAAATTACCTTCCATCTAGCTCTCGGACAGCATCAGCTGCATCTCGGGGATCTTCAAACTCAACAAAAGCAAAGCCAGGAGGGTTTCTAGCAACCCACACACTTCGGAGAGGTCCATAATAGCCAAAAGCCCGTTCCAATTCAGTCTTGTTGCCATTGTTTCCAAGATTACCTACATAAACCTTACAGTCCAATGGACAGGAATCACGATGCATTTCTGTAACAAAAAATACCAAAAATATTAATTCACTCAGCATAATATACAGTTAAAAACACAGATCTGCAGGAAAAAATTCCAAAATGCTAAAAACCAAAAAAGTAAACAGAACTCTTGAAATATCCATCCCACCCTAATCTTTACTCTTAACCCCCAGAAAAAGTAAGAAAAAAAAATGCCTCCTTGGGAAGTGAGAAAAGCAACAATGGAGAATTTACCACCATCTGGGCTATGAATTTGGGACTTCACCTGTTACTTCATTCAATCCGAAAATATTTATATAGGGAGGACGGTCTCAGAAACAAAATTCTGCAGGGGACTCAAAACCCAAACAATACTGAAGACAAGAAGGGCAGTACTTAATGTTAAATCCCACAGATACATGATACAGAAGCGCTTTCTAAAATAAGGCCAAAAGTTTTCACTAAAAAAAATGCCTTCTTTGGTATACTACAGAAACTTATCCTTTAAAACCACGTCATTAAACAGATCAAAGTCTTATGCAGTAAAAATTCCTTAAGCAGCAAGACCAAGTGTCAAAAACTTTAAAAATTAAGTTCACACAGCATTATTCATAATAGCCGAAAAGTGTTAACCCAAACGTCCATCAACAGACGGATAAGCAAAATGCAGTACAGCCATCCAAGAGTATTACTCAGAAATGAAAAAGTACTGACAAATGCTACACACGCATTTGTCAGTAAACGGACAAACCGGGGCCGGCCCGGTGGCGCACTGGATAGTGCGCTGCTTGGGAGTGCCGCGGCGCTCCTGCCCGAGGGTTCAGATCCCACATACAGACCGGTTCCCGCTCACTGGCTGAGCGAGGCGCGGGAGCAGCACCGAGGGTTGCGATCCCGTTGCCGGTCCCGGTCCGGTACGGGGGCGACACTGAGGGTTGCGATCCGTTGCCGGACACGGAAAAAAGACAAAAAAAAACAAAAACAAAAACGGACAAACCGAAAACATGCCAAGTTACAGAAGCCAGACACGGAAGTGCACTCATTGTGTACGATTCCATGTATATGAAATACCCCAAACAGGTAAATCCAGAGAAAGAATACAGAAAGAGTAGTGGCTGCCAGGTGCTTGGGGGGGGGGGGGGGGGGACGCCACATGGGAACTAGGAATGACAGCTTAATGGGTAGAAATCTCCGTAGGGGGTGATGAAAATGTTTTGGAACTAGACAGAGATAATGGTTGTACCACACTGTGAATGTACTGAAAACCGCTGAAACGCACACTTCAAAATATGCGAATTTCACTTAAAAAAAATTAAATTACGAGAAAAGGTATTTGTAAGGTATGAATTTACTGCCCTTTGGGAGCTTATATTTGATGAATCTGATCAACTTGTAGACCAGTTCCAATTACATAAAAGCAACCTACCCAATAATTCAGCAAAGTGCTTTTCATAAACACCACCTTCTTCTCACTCTGGATTTATCTAATCAAAAAAATCCAGCCCAGACATATCTTATTTGCTGTGATCCCACCCTGTGATCGGGAGTTAGTTTTAAGACCAAACTATTGGTAGAAACTGATTTTTTTTTAAACTCTGATATGACCGGTTTCAGGCCTACTGTATAAAAGGTAGCAGCTGCAACAATGCGGCTTAACTTCAAGAAAAATCGGTTAAAAAAAAGTGGCTTAAGAGTCAAGCCAAATTAAAATTTACATTAAAATAAAGGTGACTATGAATGCCATTTAATATGAACAGAAAGGCCTAATCTTAATTAGTGATTTAAAAAAAATTCCTGAGAAGCTTCCCAAGAAAACGAGCCTCCCCCCTCCCCCCCCAAAAAAGGCGCCATAAAATTGAAAGGCCGGGACCTGGAGTACAGTCCGGTTTCTTCGCCCTAACTCCCGGGTAATCCCCTACCCCTGCTTCCCCGCAATGAGGAGTATAAACACCTCTGCTCTAAAGCCAGGAAACATCCTCCGATGGGCCGAGAGCCCCCGCCACCGCCCCGTGCTGAACGTCACAAAATGGCGGCGGCGCCTCTTTGTCTCAATCTGGCGCCGCCATTGGGCCTGGCCCTACCTTTGTACTCTTAAACTCCACTTTCCACTTCACTCCTTCCGTCGCCGGTCTCTTACCGAGATCCTGATTTAGAAATGTGGAGGCTCAAATCCACAGGCTCTGATGGGTCCTCCCGCTCCCCTCCGGCCCGCTTCCTATGGACACTCGCCTTCACCCGGCGTCCACGAAATGGCGGACCAGCGCCTTCTCCTCGCCCTTATTTATATGCCAGACTGGAGTCACATGATTGGACAGGCTCGCCCAATGAGAGGCGGAGGAAGCTGTGACGTAGTGGCTACAAACGCAGCGAGAATCGCGGTTGCTGGGAGCGGGCTCCGGCCGCCCGCGTGGTGGGTGGAGTCGTTCGCGGTCGCGTGCTCGTCTGCAACGCCTGGCGCTCCCTGACGTGTTCCCGGCTTGTCGACCCTCGTCTTCCCCACACGCTCCTCTCCTTCACCGCCGAATAGCCGTGGGCTTAATAAACGATATAATCGCTGTTACTTCCAAACACTGATAGAACCAATTCCTAACAAGATTAAGGTATTGGATGAACTCATTAACTTCATCCTTGTGAGCGGTTAGAACTAAGCATCGCTTTTATAAATGTGCCTCCCAAGGAGCTGTTTGTGACCCACCCAGCACCAGACTGTGGCTGCCCAGGTCCCACACTTATGGAAAATCCTGGCCCTAGGAAGTTGGTCCAACTCTGGCTAGTTTCCCGCCTCTCACTCAAACTGCAGTACTTGGCACAGACGGCAAATGAGACCTGTTAAGCGATCTGGAAACTATCACCTTTAGCAAATGACAGAAAAGCGAAGTTTCTGAAGACGGAATTCGAATTCTGGGCCACCAAGCAAATGCCCGGAAGGGCACACCCCGGCCTTTCTCCTGCAGCCCTTGCTCAGTCTGGCAAAGGCTTCCCTATTTACCCAGGCCACTTCCCCTAGAAAGAGCCACAAGAATAACTATTGGGGGTGACGGAGAGAGGTCTGCGAATGTGTTAGAAAAATCAACAAGATCTCCCTCTCCTCAACAGTTCAACTGCCCCATCCCAATCCCCTTTCAGTCTAGTGAGACTTACTGCTAAAATTTAGTTATATCTGCTCTCAATAAAAACATAACCTTCATTTTCAGTCATTCATTCACCTTTATCTGAAAGATATGCCAATTATTTACTTATATTTTGTCTCTCCCTAAATATTTTCTTTTGAAGTCTTATCTTTTATTGTGGCTCTCAAAGGTTTATCTGTCCTGGGAAAAAAATACAAAGAGTGGGAATAACAGGCCCTGTGCTGGCCTTGCCTGGGGTGTTCCCGAGTGAGGTAGGATTATAGAAACCTTTTCTCTTTCTCTTCTTGTTCTCTCTCCTCTAGGTTTTTTTCTTTTCCCTTCTGGCTCACTTATATTAGTCTTAGTTTTATTCCCCTCCTCTGTGTAAGCTTTTCTCCTCTTTTTAATTACATTTCCTTCTTTTTTTTTTTTTTTTTTTTTTAAAAGATGACCGGTAAGGGGATCTTAACCCTTGACTTGGTGTTGTCAGCACCACGCTCACCCAGTGAGCAACCGGCCATCCCTATATGGGATCCGAACCCGTGGCCTTGGTGTTATCAGCACCACACTCTCCCGAGTGAGCCACGGGCCGGCCCATAATTACATTTCCTTCTTTTTTTTTTTTTTTAAAAGATGACCGGTAAGGGGATCTTAACCCTTGACTTGGTGTTGTCAGCACCACGCTCACCCAGTGAGCAACCGGCCATCCCTATATGGGATCCGAACCCGTGGCCTTGGTGTTATCAGCACCACACTCTCCCGAGTGAGCCACGGGCCGGCCCATAATTACATTTCCTTCTATCAAAACAAAAGCTCTGAAGGCAGACAGTCTGGGATTTGGACTTCAGTCCCCACTGCTACTTACTGCTGAAGTGTCTTGAGAAGAATCCCTTAAACCTTCTCAGTGTTAGTTTCCTCTCTGTAAAATGGGATAATAACACCAGCTTTTCTGGATTGTTATGTGCTGTTACGTTCCCACAGGAACATCAGTTTTTTGTCTATTGTGGTCAGGCCTGCATCCCCAGGGCTGGGAAATGACACAGCAGAAAGGCAATACATATTTGTTTAATTATTTAATTAATTAAAAGAAATGATGTGTGCAAATCACCTGACACAGTCACTGCTCAAAAAAATGCTGGCTCGTTTTAAATGTTCTTTTCCATCTTATTATCCCATTCTTTCACACCATTTTTCCTGGGGTTTTTTGTTTGTGTGTGTGTGTGTGATACTAGTCAAACATGTATCTTTCAATTGGAGCACTCTTAATCCCTCCAACTCTATTCATGAATACATTCTCAACCTTTTGGCCATCCACATACACTTTCCATCTTCTAGTAACTGCAGCCAAGTGAATTATCCAGTTGCTATGTAGTATTTTAACTTTCCTTTAAGTTTTTATTGTTTCATTTGTTTGTTTGGGCAGCCAGAGCGGGGATCCAGGATCCAAACTCTTGACCTTGGTGTTATCAACACCACACTCTCTCAAGTGAGCCACTAGCCAGCCTGAATAACAATTTCTTTTTGGCATCTGGCCGGTATGAAAATCTGAACCCTTGACCTTGGTGTCATAACACTGTGCTCTAACCAACGAGCTAACTGGCCGGCTCATGTTCCTTTAAATTTATTTGACCCCCCTCTTGTCTAGACCCTATAATCATGTGAAGCTTCGAGGGGACATATCAGAATTTCTTGGTGGAGACACAGAATGGGGATCGTGTATTGTAGTGAATATCTCTTCATTTTCTTTGGGGAACCACTTTTCTCACAGTTGTCCACATTATTGATTCAGGTGTGCTTGGGTTCTATACCCCACTTTTTCAGGAGTAGGGACATGACCACCCCTGAGTAATTAAATCATTCCAGTTCTTAGCCCCTCCCAGCCCCTTCATTAGGAATGAGGATGAGTAATGCAGTTAGACCAGTCGGCTGCTAATTCCAGCACTGCGCCTAGGCCAACTAGAGAGAGGTGTACTCATTTCCTCAGACTAGGATGGTACTGAGCCAGGGCAGCCATCCTGTTGCCAGGAGGGAAGAAGCTGCCTGTGGTGGAACCAACCAGGTAGGAAGGAGAGCTGAGAGATGGGAAACAGGAACGCTGGAGACTCTTGTCTTGAAAAAGCCTTGAGCCCAGTTCCACTTTTGGAATTCCCAGTTATTTGAACGTATGAGTACAAGTTCCATACCCCTTCCCCCCATTTGCTTAAGCCTCTTTGAGTTTTAGGTTTTTTTCCCTATCACATCAGAAAGATTTCAAATACAGGCCGGCCCGTGGCTCACTCGGTAGAGTGTGGTGCTGATAACACCAAGGCCACGGGTTCGGATCCCATATAGGGATGGCCGGTTTGCTCACTGGCTGAGCGTGGTGCTGACAACACCAAGCCAAGGGTTGAGATCCCCTTACCAGTCATCTTTTAAAAAAAAAAAAAAAAAAAAGAAAGATTTCAAATACAGGCCGGCCCGTGGCTCACTCGGTAGAGTGTGGTGCTGATAACACCAAGGCCACGGGTTCGGATCCCATATAGGGATGGCCGGTTTGCTCACTGGCTGAGCGTGGTGCTGACAACACCAAGCCAAGGGTTGAGATCCCCTTACCAGTCATCTTTTAAAAAAAAAAAAGAAAGATTTCAAATACAGAAATTACTGTCACAGACTTCTTACTACCTCAAGTTGAGAACCATGGTAATCAGTTATCTTTCAATTCTAAAATTCACCCATTACCAATACACTAAGTCTAAGTTAATTTTTTTTTTTTAATTATTATTTAAGAAAAAGTTACTGACGGCCAGGCACTAGTAGTTATGTTTAAGATTTAATGTTTTGGGGCCGGCCCGTGGCTCACTCGGTAGAGTGCGGTGCTGATAACACCAAGGCCCCGGGTTCGGATCCCATATGGGGATGGCCGGTTCGCTCACTGGCTGAGCGTGGTGCTGACAACACCAAGTCAAGGGTTAAGATCCCCTTACCGGTCATCTTTTAAAAAAAAAAAAAAGATTTAATGTTTTGAATATTGCAATTGGCTTCAAGTATCCATAAAGGGAAATCTAATAAGAATGTGAACCATAAAAATAGTTCATTAATTACTTAGTTTGGTCAAGGGCCTTGTAGGAAGCAGCTGGCACACTCAAATGGTTAACCACGGAGGGAGTTATTTACAGAGGTGTGGGCAGAGTTAAGGAAACCAACAGGGGAGGGGGCACTCCCAGAAGCTGTTAGGCCCAATGTGGCAAGGAAGTGGGCAGGGTTAGCAGAAACAGCCAAGTGCAATAGCTACGGGAGAGAGGCTATTATACCTTAGGTAACCCTTGAGGGGTGTGGGGGTAGAATAACTGAACCACTTGTCCTGTAGTCCCATATTTGACTCCTATTGCTGAAATCTATTGGAAGTCTGAGGGCAAGAGAGCTGGGTGAGCCTAGAGGTCAGTCTCCCAGGCCACAGAGCAGGGCAGAAAAGACTGGAGAATTGATCTAAGGCTGTGCTGTCCAATACAGTAGACACTATGCGCATGTGGCTAGTTTAGTCTGAACTGAGATATGTGCTGGATTTCTAAGACTTAGTATGAAAAAAATGTAAATTAGCTCAATAATCTCAATATTTTTTATATTGATTTCTTATTCAAATGATAATATTTTTGATGTATGAGTTAAATAAACTACATTATTAAAATTAATTTCATCTGTTTCCATATACTTTTAAACTGTGGCTACTAGAACACTTAAAATTACATATGTGGCTCATGTTATATTTTTGTTGGACAGTGTTGATCTACAGGGACAAATAGAAGATAACCACACACAATTACAGCTAATAATCATTTAAAAACTTACATTAGTTCCATATACTAGACAACTATGTGAAAATAGTGTTTCTACAAATTACACAGTTTTAAGCTTTTTTAAAAAAACCTACTTGCTTTGATACTTTGCGATATCACCCTTCTACGTAAACTTTTTTAACCATGATATCTTTATTAAACTTAAAATAATAAACAATAATTCCCTATTACCAAATATTCAATGAATGTTCAAATTTCCTTCATTGCTTCATAAATATTTTTAGAGTTGGTTTATTTGATTCAGGATCCAAATAAGCTCCACACATTGCATTTGGTTGATATAGTTCTAGTCTCTTATTCTAATTCT